CCTTGCATTCATTTGGATGAGGTTCGGTATCCTGCTGTATCGTGAAGTGAGAAAAAAGGGGTTCCCATCTGAGAGAAGTGTAAGTCACTTGTGAGGAACACGGCGCACAGCAGTTTAACATCGGGCATGCGCGAGGTGATCAATTCTGGCTAGCCGTGCGCCAATTTCCGCCTTAAAGGATAACATAAGAAACAAACGCTCTTTCGCAAAATAGGCGAAATAAAATTGCAACGCTCCTAGATGTCTGCAAAAGGAAGCAAGGTACCTAACGATAATGTATATCGCTGAGTTGGAACGATATATCGCCCGAGGCAAAAATTTTTTGAATGGTTCAATACTATTTCGCAATTGTCTTAACAACAGCTTCTACCTCTCAGAGCCATATGACAAGTCCAAGTAAAAAACAACCAAACTTCCTGAAACGCGGGAAAACGCGGGTGACAAAGTCCTGATTGGTTTTCAGCTTTGAATCTGATTGGTTGAGAGAGGGGTGCGAGTTTTTCTGGACCAATCACATAGCGAAGTAAAGCATAAACGAAGCGATAATTGTTACTTTCGACATTTAAAAAAACAAGCGTTTGTATGGCACGATATTTCGTCGATGAGTCGCGATTTTCGCGGTAATCGTCACACAGTTTTGTACGCTGGCTATAAAAAGCTGTCCAAGGATGGAGACTGGGGAGGAGTTACCGCTTGCTCCCTCTCTGTACTTCATAAATTTTCTGGAACCATCCCCAGATAGGGGTAACTGTTGTTAGTGTTTGTTTGGAAGCTTTTACTGCTGACAAAATAACATTAACTTTTCTTCTTTTCTTTTCCAGGGTGGCGAGGAAATCTGCGATACACGTTTGGCCAGAGAAACGGAGATCGCTCACATGAGGGAACTCCTGTATCCAGGATCAATTTCGTAAGCAGTTAAAATTGGTAATCTAGCAGGGTTGAATACCAAACTCTGACAATATCCTACATGTGAATTTTATTCAGATAAATTGTTGTAAAATGGGTTTGTCCCACAGTAAGATTATTCGCATGAGATCTCTATCGCCTGACAGCTTATGAGGAAAAAGCCTTAATCGAAATTCAAGAAAAGACTTATCAGGAAAATAACAGTATTCTCTCAGCAGAAATCAGCCGGAGATTAAAAACTGAACCGCAAGACATGTCCCTTTATTTTATAATCTGTACATAGGCTATTCACGTCACGCACTTTATATCACTAATTAGTATTGAATATCAGTCTCGGATTGAGCTTTTTAAAATTGAAACTATGAAATGAGAGTTGACCAAATACGTCGCTGTTGACGAGTTGACCAATAGTGTTGGCGAGCTGACATGTTGGAGAAGTGACCGGGTACAGAATGCATCTATCAGCGTTGTGATAGAGAGGTAGTTTTTTTAAGGGATTAGCCTGACACTATACGGTTGTAAACAAAGAGGACAAAAACACCAGCCTGTCTTGTTGCTAAGTTTTCAACTAGTTGTTGGTTTATTCTAAACCAATAAGATTTGTCGCTTGTGATTTTCTCTGCGTTGATCGATTCAGACATCGCACTCATAACTGCTACGCGTTGTGTAATAACTTAGATGGTAACCGGTCAAGTCGCCCAAAAGTCATCTCGCCCAGAGTCATGTCGCCCGGAACCAGAGTCATGTTGCCCGAAATCCTGAGTCATGTCGCCCGAAATTTTATCGAGTGTTCAATCTTGAAGAAAAGTAACAATGGCAAGGACTAAACTTGTAAAATGCTGACTCGTAAAATGTTTTCGTCCGCTAAGCTATGGGAATATGAAGTAAAACAAAGACTCAAATATCGCTGTTCATTTCAGCGTTGTTCGTTGCCACGAACTAAACTGCTAATTCTACGGTACAAATTCTAGTAATTATAAGCGGAACTTTCAGTTATAAGAATTTTTCACACATATCAGAAAAATATATCAAGTTCTCTTAGTTTTATTTATCGTATACTACAACATGAAACTTTTACAGCGGTTTTTCTGGTGATTGCTAACCACGCGAACAAAGCGTGTTAGCATCATTTCCCTTAGGATCAGACGCGGCATAAATTATCGCGACTTGTTCAGTTGTTCCTTGTTTCCTCGGCCGGTCGCATGTAAATTTTGTTCCGGCTAACTATACATAAAGAGGTTAAATTAATAACAGCCACCATATTCCTATAAAGGAAAGCTGAAACACGAGATCGTTACCCATACGCAAAAAAATTATATAGTGAGCCTTCATCCTTGTATCGAGTGCGGAAATGAAGTTCGACCACGCCAGCAAGCCCTTCAGTGCGACATTGCGGCTTTTGGCAGCATCGTATCTGCGGGACTGGTATCGACCAAGCCACCT